ATTCATTTTACAAGCTCAAAAACTTTAAGCAACATTTAGAAAATTTATCTAATTTTTATTTTATTTAGAGGGGGATTGACTAAAAACTAGTGTTGTGCATATTGTACTCGTACTGTGACGTACATTATACTGTGTCACTCGCAGCGTCAGCTGAGCCAGCCCCTGTTGTTTAGTATTAGAAATATAAGGCTTGTGTGTATTTGTAATATTTTTTGGTATTTTTTTTTTATTTCTATTCTATTCTACATATTTGTATAAATTTACATTACAATAAGTCTTTTTATGACAGTCATAATTTTTATATATACATTACTTACTAAGAAATTACGTAGAGCATGAGTTATTTTTGAGTAATCAGTTAGATAAACTGTTAAAGACGTCATCTCTAAAAATACTGTAAAGGTTTTTTTTTTATACAGCTTAGAATGGCAAACAAGCTGACGGCCCACCTGATGGAAAGTGGTGACCGTCGCCTATAGTCATGAGCAGTACCATGGACATAACCTGTTTCGCCCATGATACCCCCCCATGCATTGCTATTTCTGAGGATTCAGGTGTTATCCTCTGTACCCAGTAAATTCACGCCATATCCCACCCTTCAAACAGAAACACAGCCATGCAAACACAACTGCTTCACGGTTGAAACACGAATGGGACAGAGGTACCCAAGCAATTGACTTTTGTACAAAGTCTCCCTCTGGTGAGGTAGTTGAAGATAATCAAATGGTTAGTTAACGTTACATAAATATTTAACTACTTATGACTATTTCACTTGTTAACGAGTTAACGATTAACGCGAGAAAAGAATAATAAAAAAATATATTATTAAGACTAATAAAAATAATTTAAGGATTTTGTCCAATAAAATCGTCGATTTTAATTTTTAATTAATTGAAGAACAACGCGATAGGAAACTGTTTCATGTAAAAATAATGTAATGACCTTTTTTCCGACATCAATGTCCAGTAATACCCAATATATAGATATCGGATTGGTATCTATATAACCCATGCCTACTTTGGAGTATTAAATCATTATTTTCTCAAACATGCTTGGAAATGTGAGCATTATTTTGACAATCTTCTTCGAAATAAATCAAAATTGCCGTACTGGCCATATACATGCGGACAGCGGCCGGCAAAAGTTGTATGAAAATCCATATCTGTCGTGTTTTGCGGCCAGATAAATTACTATGTAAACTTATATCTGTCCTGTAATTTAAAAATAGAGTGACCTTTTACATCGAAACATGGCTACCAAGGAGGTAACTAATAAAAGGTTTTATTTAAATTTCGAACTGGTTTGCAAATAGAAAGCTGTTTATTGAAAAGAAAAACACAGGAACATTATAGCGCGTGAAAAATTATTATTGTTCGTTATTCGTCATTGAACCTAAAAAGTAAAATTGTGTTTTTGATTTTCGCGCATTGTTTGAGAAAAGTATTATACAAGCCTTGGCCACAACTAGGCATTGATGGACTCACATATGTGTGCCTCGGCTATGCCTCGGCCCACATTTGCACCTTCGTCCATCAATGCCTCAGTTGCTGGCCGCTGTAGTAATGTACTATGAATATACATTAAAAATAATATCTAAAATATAGATATGCAATGTATATATGTATTTAAGATAATAATAGATACTTGACTACTAGCATTTTTATTATTATGGTTACGTCAATTTATTTAAACAATCTCTTTTAATTAGGAGGCAATTAGAGTATTATAAAGATTATTTTAAAAAAAAGCTAATTTCTATACTAATTCTTATCTATTATTACAGAAAATTTCCGTCTGTCAGTCAGATTATATTCGGCTGAGATTGTTTCTCTATTATCCGATAAGTTATCAGTGTCAGATACCGACCGGATATCAGGACAACACAAATGTAAAAAATACTGGTGTATATAATAAAAATAATGATGGTAGAAAGTGGCTGTGGGCATCATATTGAACAATTCTTCTGAGCAAATTCCATTGTATAGGCGGTAGAACACTCAGCAACATGCTCATCTCTCGCTTTCCTTTAGTCGCCTTTTACGACACCCACGGGAAAGGAATGAGCGATCCATTCTATACTGGAACCGAATAGTACTTTGAATAATAATTATTTAACTTAAATGTTGTAAAAAGTTATGGGTAGAATGTTTTCTATTTCAAAGAGATAACATAAAATGGTAACCCTCCTCATGCTATCGGTATACTCTAGCTGGTAAGTGAGGGGTGATAGGTGTATAAAGATAGATAGATTGATAATTTATTTGCATTACTTACAGCGCACAAATTACAACATATATAGATATACACAAAAAGTGAGATAACATAAATGATTAAAAAATACATAAAGCAAAGTACAAATTTTCATTTGTGCGTGTGCCATAACAATACAAAATGGTCACAACTCAGTTTATTGCTTCGCCCTCAAAAGAGCAAAGCACTGATATTCTGTTGCGGCCAAAGGGAATAGTGTAACAATAAAACAATACTACTAGATTATCTATACAGTAAACAGACAGATATGACAGTTTATCTAGCAGACAAATGGAACATAGAATTAACTTGCTCGTATCAAAGCTAGTAGGCACGTCATGATAATTTCACCAAAAATTTCATGTTTCCAAGGGAAACCGCGTGAAGGTTGATATGACATGTTGCTAGCAATGTGTCCTGTTATTTCCATTACTTGTAATCTCTTACTGTTTTAATAAGATAATAAGAGAATATGTAGGTACAAAAGAAATCTGTCAAATAATCTATGTATTACTATTGGGGATTTACTTATTTTATAATACATAGAATAGATAGGAAAAATCTTTTCTTACAACAATTTATTTCCAAATTGATAAATCGGCTACCGCATTCCTTATCAATACTATTGTGCTCGTGTTCAGATAAGAACCCGTCTTTATAGAATGCAGAAAACTGCAATATATGCAATATATTATATACTAACTGCTCCGGTTTCTAGTAGATGAAAAAAAAAATAAGACCAAATCTCTATGTTTTTTAAACCAATTTTTTCACTTTTCCGTATAATTTTTCAAACTTTTTCTTCATTAGTATGAACTATTTATTTATTATTAAAACAATTAGTCAAATAGGTGGAGCCTTTAATGTTTTTTATATTATATATATATATATATATATATATATATATATATATAAAATATATATATATATATATAAAATACATACATACATATCTGTCACGCCTGTCTCCCATTAGGGTAGGCAGAAACAATGGAACGCCAAATGCTTCGATTCAAACAAACCTCTTTCGCTTCTTCCACATTCATCAATCTTGTCATACACGCTCGTCGGTTACGGGTACTTTTAATTTGGCCCTTCTTCAGCACGTCGCCTATTTGGTCGACATACGTCCGTCTAGGGCGGCCCCACCGACATCTCCATTCATTCTTGCTCGATAAATCTCTTTCGTAATTCTTCTTTCATCCATCCTCTCCAAATGACCAAACCATATATAAAATATCGAATAAATAATAGCCAGATTGCTATTTATATTTTTATTTATATTATTTGAGTACATTTCGTGAATTCTGAGAAATGTTGTCATTTGGGATTGAAGGGAAGGGACGATAAATGAATTAATTTATTTAAAATTAAACTAAGGATCCCATTTAGTAGGAACTAGTAAATCTGTAATGCATATTGATTGATAGCAATCAATATGCATTTGTCGAAATTCATTGAAACCGTTTGATCAGTTTTGGACATTAGCATGGACGGATCTCGTAAACCGAGATTTTTATATATTAAGTAATTAGGAAACATAGTAGTATAGTTCCTAAACTACATGTAGAATATATCAAACGCGAGTTAAAATTTAAGCTAATTATTTGATATAAAACACTGTGATCTTATCGTACCTACTACGTTGATAAACAAATAGGAAAACACTGCACGATTTCGGGGAAATGTTTGGTTTTATGACAGTATTTAAATTAACAAATAGCTAAGTATATAGTGTGTCAAAGTCAAGATTAAGTCGAATGATGTGAACATAATTTTCAGTTGTATGTTTACTTTTAGTCGTTTAGTCATTATTATTTTTAAAAATTTCTAGACTTCATCACATTAAATGTCTTAGGTAAGCATACTAAAAAGTTCTTAAACGACAATGCTGAGGGATGGGATAAACTTATCTAGAGAGTTAGCAAATAACAGGCAGGACTCGAAATAGATGCCTTAACTGGACATATGCTAGTAAGGCATATAGTATACAAGATGGGTCTATCCTTGGATACACTGTGCAGATTGTGCGGTGAGAAATCGGAATCCATGTTACACTTGATGTGCAACTGCGATTCGTTCTCAACTACGCGTATGAGTATATTGGGAACGTCTTATTCAGAGTCAAGGGACTACAGATATCTTAAACTGCGGGATATCGTTAAGGTAACATATATATAGGATCTATAAAATGATGGTATAAAGCGGGGGGAAGCACAAAAGATCCCGATGGGTCGATATGGAACTACTTAGCTGACCCCATACACGAATCTAAAATAATTATACATCATCGCATTTGTAACAATCTATTTACATCCCACTGCTGGCCACAAGTCTTTCCTGACGTTGTCTTGTTTTAAATCCAGCTTTGCTTGTGTGAATTAATATAAGAAAAATGCATTATTATAAATACCTTTTTTTATACTACTAATGGTACACCTGATGGTAAGCGGTTACCTTAGCTTATAAACGCTTGCAATACTAATATAATATAATGCAATGCTAGGGTAATTACGCGCGCGTTGCCGACCTAACGCGACCTTAGGTAGTAGTACCTAAGTACTAATAAGTCTTCAAAGGTTACCTACTTACTACAACATACATACATGGTACTGTGATAAAGCAAAAAAAAGTATAACGAAACATTCGTTGTTTATTGTAAAAAAAATTAACAAATCGGTCAAAATTGGCCAAGATTAATAAAGTGGCGAGTGGCTCTTTTTGACATTTGAGTATTATTTAAGAACATG